ACGCGCGTAAGACAGCCCGATGCATGCTTATTCGCGGATCTTTGTTAATTAAAATCTCAGTAACTATTGCGAATCTAGCAAAATGGTATAGGACTTTTCGACTCAGTTTTATTCCTTCTACCTGCCTATGAGAGATGTTAAACCAATTCTGGGACACCCTGTATATATATATACATATACACATATTTCCGTAATAACATCCAGCGTAAAGCTCTTATTACCGTTTATATATTTCGCGTTTAGAAACCTCAGAGCTTAAGATTCTTTATTAATTGTTAATTCAAGAGCTTTCTAAAACATTATAATAAAATTCATTTTTGTTAAGTACTTTTTGAATGAGGGTTGAAGTTTAGAGTACCGCCGGTATTAGCATTATCTACCCAGATAGCCAACTGAGTGCAAGTTGTTGGCAACTTGCCACAAATATTGCTCATAAGTTTTCAGCAATTCAACAAAAGAGGGTATCCTTTTTTCAGTACGTTTTTACCAGCAAGCTTCTAAAATATAAAAGCAAGTTCCCAACAACTAATCGGCAATAAACTTATATTATTTTTCTCAACTTATGAATAAAAATCATTGCTTACATATTGCTGACTCACTTGTCATAAACATTGGCTACAACAAATTGATTGACAATAAAATTCAGCATATTGATACTGAATTGAACAAAAACATTTTCGTTACATTAAATAAAAACAACACAACAGCAATTGGCAAGCAATTTAATCTATACAATGATTTGCTTTATATTTAGTTTTCACATTTGGTTATTTGGGTAAGGTGTACTACATGGAGATTACTCAGTCAGATTTACATTTCTTGTGTGTGATCCAACGAAATATCGGTCGTGAAAGTGCACAATTAAACCGAATTTTATTAGAAATGCCATGACAAGTTTTTATGACCGAACAGCACAATGTCAAACCATGAATAGTGCGCATTTCGAACAATTATAATAAATGAGCACCCACAAAATATGTTTACTATGTCGATTAATTTCCAGGTCTTCTAATGCCCGATATTGATTTAGTTAGATCTTTGCTGGATTCACGACCGATCTTGCCTTAGTTGGCTGGATCCACGACACATACAAGAGGTGTAAATCCGACCGAGTAATCTTTTAGTACACTTGGATAATGCTAATACCGGTGGTACTCAACTTCAATCCTCATTCAAAAAATACTTAATAAAAAGTGTATTAGCACTATAATGAAAATGAACTTCATTATAGTGTTTTGGATAGCTTTTGAATTAAGCTACAAGAATATGCAATAAAAAATAAAATCTATTCAAAAACAACTCGACGTAACCTTGATCTGACCTTGGCGTTTTTAAATGGAAATTTATATATTTCATTGCATATTTTTGTAGCTGACGTCAAGACATTTTCGAAACATTGGTTACAAACTCTTTTTAGATGTATCGTGTAGAAGTCACACGGTCAAATTTAATCTCTTCGTGGTACTTGATTAAAGTGAGTTCTTGATTAAACCCTACTATGCGATCTCCACGCGGTACATCTTGGATAATGCTAACGCCGGTGGCACTGAAATTTTGAAGTCTCATAACTCAGGAAGAACTTACCTAAAAAGAGTTTGTAACTACTGTTTCGAAAACGTTTTGACTTCAGCTATAAGAATATGCAATGAAATATAGTTCCCGTTAAAAAAATTCAAGTCGACCTTGACATGATCTTCATGACGCCATCCAAGGTTAATTGCATATGCTTATGTAATGCATTACTTAACTCCCAACAACTTCTGTCTAAAACAATTTTCAAAAGAACCACTTACCTCGTTTTTAAATGAGGTATACGAGTGGTCTGAAACATCCGGTGTATATGTGTGTATATATAATCACACACACAGACACACAATATAAATATTAATTTTTTATATATACCCAGTAAACAATTTGTTCGCAATTTGCCGGCAAATTGTCAGCAATTTTAAGCAAAAATACTCAGCAAATTTGCATCAACTGTGTCCGTATTAGGCTTCGATTTTGTTGCCAAACCCAGATAGCCAAGTCTGTCAAAAGCAGATCATGCAAGTGTCTGCTATCATCTGTTGTCAACAAAAAGGCTACAAATCTGATACAGAAGTTGTTATTATTGATTAAGTCTACAAATTGGTGCCAAAAATCGAGCAGATCTTGCTCACAAAATCTGACAGCAGATTGGCTGCAGAAACCGAGCAAGATTTGCTAACATGACTTGACGTCAGATTGTCGGCAGAAACCGAACAAAATCTGCGCACGCACACTCTAACGACAGATTGGCAACAGAAACCGAGCAGAATCTGCAGCTTTTGGCGATTCACGTAAAATGATGCATTTAAAAGGTTTCAAAATGTTATTTTTATAACATAAAATTAGTTAAGTCTTTTGAATTAACTATTTTTTTAGTTTAAATTAAAAAATGCAATGCAATAATTTTATTATATAATGTTACAATGATTGTGTTACATATTACGCGTTTTCAATTTATCTATTAAATTATAATTATAAAAAAATTATATATATAATATATGTACATATATATATATATACATATATAACAGTATATACTAACATATATACAACACTAACATTATATACAAGCGAAATAATTTTTTTATAAATATAAGATCTTGCAAAAGTGTAGAAACCCTTTAATAGATTAGACTCCTTAATTAATTAGAAAAATACATGTTTGAAAAAAGTGTTTTATACAAAAATTATAGAGGTGTAGTGTGACACATTATATAATAAATTTACTATGTATGTGTACACTATGTGTATAGCGAAGTTAGAATTTAAATTAGTGTTTAAGACGTCAATAAATTATATCTATCTATATATAATTTTAGTGTATGACTATGTATAATTTTTTTATACATAATT